GTCGGGTGTTACCGCACACCGCGACGTGCTACTGGGTTCATGAATGCGCGCACAACACTAGCTGGACAGGACTGGCGCTGCGCGAGCCACTTTCGTGCGCTGCTGCGCGCTGGCGTGCATTACCGCACGCTGGCGTGCATGCCTGGGTGTTGGCGTGCGCATGCATATCGCCAACACTTACCTGTTGCAGTTACTGGCCGCTCGCGGTACCATACCGCACATCACCTTCACACCCGCGCACCGCCGGTACGCTGCGGCCGCTAAGTGCGGGCAGCGCAAGTACGACCGACCCTCGTCGGCCGTCCGGCGGATTTCTTCGGCAACTACTACATGATTAAACTTAATCTATCATAATATGATCATATATGCTGATTTAACTTAAAACATGAAATTTTGCATAAAAGCTGGACTCAGCCGCGGCGGGCACCGTGCGCCGCCGACGGCGGTAAGCCATTTTACGACCGTACTCAATCTTCTCTCGGCAACTCTAACTCAACTTAATATGAAATATCACTTACTAAACAAAATAACAGGAAGTGCTCGAAGGCCTTAAACTTAACATACTTGTTACAAGTGCCCGGCCCGTGGTGCGCGCTACGTGCGCGACCACGTCCCGGTGCCGAACCACCGAACGACATGAATATTCTCCCGAACAACTTAAGCTAAATAAACATGATATAACATGAAAAGGCTGATTACATGATTATTGCTCGAGAGACGTTAACTTAAAGCATGAGCATGCTCGCGATGCACTCGCACAGCCGAACGGCTTAAAGCCGCACCATGAACATAAATAATTCAGAATTAACATGACCTTAACATGAGTATTCTAAGGTAATCTGAAGTTACCTTTGTGACCCTCGACCGATCACACCTCCGTGCATGACGATGCTCTCGATGCGCGCGGTGATGTGCGATGCTAGCCTCTTGCCGTGCGGTACTTGCGGTAAGCTCGGCGTGCGTGTGTGTCTCCTTAAAAATTCTCTCAACACCCAACTCTCCTTACTAACTCACTCTTAATATATATGTATACGCTGAATAAATACTTAAGGGAAAGTGGGAATTTTCCCAAACCTCTAACATATATATACTAAGTCGTGGGAAGGATGATGAGGTGTTGAGATTTAACATTAACATGACACTTGTTAACCATAAGGAGCTTAAGAAGGCTTAGTCACCAATCTTTGGTATTAGTCACCACTAATGACCTTTATTTGATGACACCTCCTACTTAGATTTCTCAAAGATAATCTTCCCACTAACTTAAAACATTGTGTACGGCACTTTGAAAAAAAAAAGGGAGATAGTTACGGCTTTAATGATTTAAAGCCTAATTAATTACTTACTAATCACTTCTTTATGCTTAATTAATTATTAAGCATAATACTTAATTACCAAAATTATTCCGAACGTAAACGGGACGTCGAAAATAATTTCGGATAATCTCGACTGAAAATATTAATTCCGAAAATAATAACCGAAAATATTATTATATCGGAACTAAAAACATGATTTATATTAGTAAACTGACGGGATATTACAATCCTCCCTCCTTAACAATTTCCGTCCTCGGAAATTCAAAACATAACTGAATATACATGAAATATGTACATGGAACATGAAAATATGTACATCAAAACTGTAAATCTGGAAAACGAGCGCGAATATCGGACTCCGCCTCCCAAGTAGCTCCGTGGCGATCCCACTGAATACGCACGAGGGGAACATCTCACTTCCGGAGCCGACGAACCTGACGGTCCAATACAGCTACCGGTCGCTACTCGTACGAAAGATCTGGCTGAAATTGAATATTTTAATGGGGAATAACATGATCGGGGTCGCACACGTATTTACGCAACATAGATGCGTGGAAAACATTATGAATGCCTGATAGCTCGGGAGGTAGGGCTAATCGATACGCAACTTCGCCTACTTGCTCGAGAACCTCGAACGGGCCAATAAATCGAGGGTGCAGCTTCCCTCTCTTTCCGAATCGAACGACTCCGCGAATCGGACGAACTCTGAGAAAAGCTGGCTCGCCAACCTCAAACTGAATGTCTCATCGATGATGATCGGCTGAAGATTTCTGTCGACTCTGAGCTGTCTTGAGTCTCTGCCGGATCAACTCGACCTGATCTGCTGTCTCCTCGATCAACTGGGGACCGAGTACTCGTCGCTCTCCGATGTCGTCCCAATAAAGAGGGGAACGACACTTGCGACCGTAAAGTGCCTCGTAAGGAGCCATCTCAATAGAAGAATGATAGCTGTTGTTATACGCAAACTCGGCGTACGGCAACAACGACTCCCACTTAGCACCTCTGTCAACAACCAAAGCGCGAAGCATATCCTCAAGCGTCTGAATGGTCCGCTCGGACTGACCATCTGTCTCCGGATGGTAGGCTGAACTGAACTCAAGCTTCGTGCCCATCGCCTAGTGTAAACTGTGCCAGAATCTACTGACGAATCTGGGATCTCTGTCTGATACGATAGTAACGGGCACTCCGTGGAGTCGAATGATCCCACGGGTATATATCTCAGCCAACTTGTCCAAAGACATCTTCATCGAAACGGGTAAGAAATGAGCGACCTTAGTCAATCTGTCGACCACAACCCAAATAGCATCGTGATGTTCAGACGACCTCGGCAATCCCGTAACGAAATCCATCGTGACTTCCTCCCACTTCCACCTCGGAATCGGCAGTGGTTGCAGGAGGCCGATCGGACTCTGATGTTCGGCTTTGGCTTGCTGACAGGTAAAAAACCTCCTGACGAACTCGGCGACGTCTTTCTTCATTCCTCGCCACCAGAACAACCCTTTCAGGTCGTGATACATCTTCGTGCTCCCGGGATGGGCTAGATAGGGTGCGGTATGAGCCTCTGATAAAATCTCCTTCCGCAACGCCTCGACTTTCGGGACCACGATCCTGCCTCTGAACTCTAGGGCACCATCGGCACCTAGCTGAAAACCCTCGACGCCTCCGGCGCGAACCTTGGCATCCATGACACGAATGAACTCGTTAGAAGCCTGCTCTCGCCGGATTCTCTCTCTCAGCGTCGGCTGAAGCTGCATGGCACTGACACTAGCACTGACACTCCCCGAAATGGCTGTGAAAAGTGCATCAACTGCCTGAATCTGCATCCGGGCAAACTCCTGAATCAACGGACTCTGCTGAGTAACGACGTACGTGAAGTCACCCCTTACCTTTCGGCTCAGGGCGTCAGCAATGACGTTCACCTTTCCCGGATGATACTGAATCGAGCAATCGTAATCCTTGACGAGCTCGAGCCAACGGCGCTGTCTCATGTTGAGCTCCTTCTGCGTGAAAATATACTGCAGGCTCTTATGATCTGTGAAAATCTCGCAACGACCGCCGTAAAGATAATGTCGCCAGATCTTGAGAGCATGAACAACGGCGGCTAACTCCAAGTCGTGTGTCGGATAGTTCTGTTCGTGGGGTTTGAGCAGACGTGAAGCATATGCAATGACTTGGCCATCCTGCATGAGTACACATCCCAGTCCCTGCTTCGAAGCATCACTAAAGATGGTGAAACTCCGAGAAGGATCGGGAATAGTCAACACCGGTGCTGAAGTTAATCTCCTCTTGAGCTCCTGGAAGCTCGCCTCACATGGGTCAGTCCACTCGAACCTCACAGACTTCCTCGTCAGCTGAGATAGAGGGAGGGCAATCTTGGAAAAACCCTTGATAAACCTGCGATAGTAACCAGCTAGACCGAGAAAACTGCGAACCTCGGACGGACTCCTCGGTGTCGACCAGTTCTGAACAGCTGAGACCTTGGAAGGATCCACCTCGATACCTGCCTGAGTAATAACATAACCCAGAAAGGCTACTCGCTGGAGCCAGAATTCGCATTTGGAGAATTTTGCAAACAACTTTTCTCGTCTGAGGGTTTCGAGAACCACCATCAGATGCTCCTCGTGCTCCTTCTGGCTCTTCGAGTAGATAAGAATATCGTCGATAAACACAATAACAAGCTGATCAAGGTAGGGATGGAAAATACGGTTCATCAGGTCCATGAAAACTGTTGGAGCATTACTGAGGCCGAATGGCATGACAACGAACTCGTAATGGCCGTAACGAGTCCTGAAAGCGGTCTTAGCGATATCTGACTCCTTAATCTTCAGCTGGTGGTAGCTTGATCGTAAATCAATCTTTGAGAACACACAGGCTCCCCTCAGCTGGTCAAATAAGTCGTCGATCCTGGGAAATGGATACTTGTTCTTGATCGTCAACCGATTAAGATCCTGATAGTCGATACACATGCGCATGGAACTGTCCTTCTTTTTGACAAAGAGAACGGGTGCTCCCCAAGGTGACACGCTCGGTCGGATGAAGCCGAGTCGTAATAACTCCTGAATCTGCGCCTTAAGTTCCTGCAACTCCTTAGGCGCCATGCGGTACGGGGCTTTGGATACTGGGCCGGCTCCTGGAATGAGGTCAATAGAGAACTCCACCTGCCGGTTAGGCGGTCCTCCTAGAAGCTCGTCTGGGAACACGTCCACAAACTCACGAACAACTGGGACATCGTGAGGTGATCGTGCTTTTTGAGAATCATCGACAAGGCTCACCAGATAACCCTGGCAGTTGCCTCGTCGCAGCAACTTGGTGGCTTTCGCCATCGAAATGACATGAGGCAATGAACGATTCTTGGTACCAAAGAAGGTAATCGAGTCGTCTCCCGGAAGATAGAGAGTAATCTCCCGGTCATGACATCGAATATCTGCATGATAAAAGGATAGCCAATCCATCCCGAGAA